CAGGGAAAAGTGAGCTGTGGGAGAGTGGGACCAGGATACCCAGAGCAATCTGCTGGCCAGGTACAAGTGTCTTTTCCCTTTATTGGTTCCTGACTATCCTCTGAAACTTTCATGCAATGGTGTGATTTTATTTAAGCACAATCCAACAAGAAACTTCATTGAATTATTTCCCTCAGTAGGGGTGGGGTGGGGTGCGCATCTTGTTGGCTCTACTGTAATTTGAGCTCATTGGGAACTGCATGATGTCTGCTCCTTATGCAGGCAAACTTATACGTTGAGGCTGGAACTGAATTGTATTGGATCCTGTGTGAAGCAAGGGGCATATCTGTAAAGGTGTGACATCTTTGGGTGTGACATACCACCATTCAGCTTGAATTTTATGTCATGATTCTATTGTTGGCACTGAGTTCATCTGACTTTTGTCGTTTTCTAGGTTGGGAAATGTTGGAAAGCCTCCCTTATTTTAATCAAACTAATCAAATCTTATGTGAAATATCTACTTGTAGTTTTTAAAAGGAAAAGAAAATGAGATGCAGGAGGAGGAATAAAATATAAAACTGTCAGATGTGTTTCTGGAATTTCCAAAGACTTCTAAGCATTTGACACCCCCCCCACCCCACCCCACCCCACTTTCTGTTACTTATAGGAACCACCATCAAGTAATATCTTACAGGATATTCTAAAAGGAGAACAAGTTTTTCTTACTTAAACAAAACAAAAGAACAAACAAACAAAAAAATGTGAGTGATAAGCTAGTCACTGAATTGCAAAGACCAGAACAGGTTTCTAAAGTATGTTAATGAGAATTTTCAGAGCAGGTAGAGAGACTGCAGGGTGTTACAGACAGCCCATGCTTCTCAACTTCAGTTTGCTATCTTTCTGTGATCATATTAGAATACCAATTCATAGATTTTTATCTTTTATAATTCTGGAGAAAAAATTGTTAGTTTTGTAAATTTTCTTAAGAACAGATATATGTATTTTACTAGCTCCATTGCATTAGAGCAGTTTAACTCAGTGACTTGTGAAATTTATTATCTCCAGGCCGTTGGTGTTGAGAAATACCAATTTTTTTTTTTAAAAAAAGCAACCTTTCTGGCTGTCAGAGGGCAGGACTTGAAGTTACATTGATGATTCCAAAAGCTGGCCCTTAAAATTTTTTTTTAACCCAAAGAAAACAATAGTGTAAATTGTTAATAATAAACCCAAATTAGTGTGTTAATTTAGGATTAAGTACTGAGATTTTATGATTTATTTTCAGCTTAGCCTCACGTGACTTGCAGGGAGAGGTTTGATCTATGATTTCTCCAGCTTAAATGGATATTTTGGATCCTTCCTTTTTTCTTTTTCTTTTTTAAGTTAGTTGAATCATTTTACCACACAGTATAGTCTGCATGTATAGCTGGTAAAACATATTGCCCTATATTATAAATATAATGTACACTTATATTACTTTAAATATAAGCTATTTAAAGAAAGTTCATAGTTGTTTTTACCTGCTTTTTAACTCCAAGTCAGGCTTCTTTTCTTTCAGAGAAATGCATGCTCTAACTTTACTTGCAAATGTTTGTAGTTTACAGATCTTTGTTGATGTTAACTCTAATTGTTAGGTAGACTTCTATGTTACCTGGAAAATTTTGGACATAAATTTAAATAAATCTGTGAAGTCTGTATATTAGGTGGCTTGACTGAATTTTTTTCCTGTGATTGAATATGGACTGCATTTTGAAAAGCCACATTTGCCTTTATGCTGGATTAAAAAATTACAATGCATAAGACTTTTCCTTTATATGTTATAACTTTTCTTAGCATTTTATATTTATATGTTATCACTTTGTGATTTTAAACCATAATTCAGTTAAATAGAGTTATAATGTGAGGAATAGATTGGTCTTTATAAAACCAGGGGAAAATTGGAATTTTCTTATGAGTAAACATACTTTGCTGCCAGAATTCAGTATAATGTACCACATTCTGTTTTCATACTAGTAAATCTTAATATAGTCAAATGTCCTCAGGATCTATATTGTAAACAACATTGAAAACTGCTTATGTTTTAAGGAGTGGTTATTTTTAAACATGTGACTTCTGTTTTAATGTAAGAATCAAAGGTATACATAAAAATAGATTTGCCAATGTGCAACTTAAAGTCGAAAATCCAAGAACTTAGAAACATTGTTTTTTTTTTCCAGTAAGATGAAACACATGGGGAACTCAATCAATAAAAAAGTAGTTAAGACATTTTATTCTCAGCATTGCTTCTGTGTTGAGTATGTGATTGATTATATTTACATCTTGTTAAAATTCCATTCTCTCCAGTGGGATTGCAGTTTGTATACTTTTTAAATGTCAGTTTTTCTTTCTTTTGTATTCTGTGATTATTCCATACCTGCAAACACACTAGTGTTGGCATATCCAACACATGTAGAAGTGAGTTTATTAGATGCCATCCCAAAGGTAGAATCTATGTTTTTTTTTGTTTTTTTGTTTTTTCGAGACAGGGTTTCTCTGTGTAGCTTTGCGCCTTCCTGGAACTCACTTGGTAG